TTGACAATTTATTTTCGTCTTCGTTTATATTAAACGTGACAAAATTATTTTGTCTCCATTTCTTATATTTATGACAAAATACTTTTGTCTCTAATTTCTCTCCTTTAATGACAATATTTTGTCGCTAATTACTTATAAGTATGTTCCCAACAGAGTGTATTGGAGACAAAAAAATTCGTCACAAATTTATCATTTTCAATGACGAATTTTTTTTTTCGTCTCTAAGACCCTTTAGCGACGACCCTTTGGAGACAAAACGGGTGACGAAAAATGTTCGTCGTAATTAGTTTGGGTGACGAAATATATACATTTTGGGACAAATTTGTTTCGCCTTTAAATCCCAAATTTGTTGTAGTTAAACCGATTCAGTTCGTGTTTAAATGGATTGGTTCGAATTAGTTTCACGATTTAAACGGATTAGATTGGTTCCAATTTTTTAAGAACCGTAGATAACGGATTAGTCCTGGTTTTATCCCAATCTGATCCAATCTGGACCACGCTCACCCCTAGTTTCTTTTCCATTATAAGTCTAGTTTGACAATATTTTATTTTAGTTAAAAAGTCAAAAAATTACTATAAATTATCACATCACTTTTTTTATTTTTTTATATATCTTTTTATAAAAAATTAAAAAATTATTAAAATAATTTATTTCTGTATGGGAAAGAAATAAACCTTCTCGTATAATCCTGTTAATCAAGTCTGCGCTCCTCCAAACGTTGTCGCTTTATTCCCTGAAAACACAAACGTGAGCTAGCCGGCGGGTGTGTGCCGGAAACCCCTCCGATGCCTAAGTCAGAAAAATGGACAAAGGCAAAAGCTCTGTGTATTCAAGAATCAAAGTTGTGTGTTACCTCTCCATAGATGTTTGTGAGCTTTTATAGGTTCCGTGTGGCACAATCCAAGTAGGACTCTTACTCCTCCATGTAGAGTCCTCCTAAGATTCATACTCCTGAAAGATAATGCTTATCCTTCAACACCACCCTCACTGCTTAAACCAAGTGAGATGGTTTTTACCATGGCCGAACTCCAATATGACCGAAGTAATCATGATCACGCCGAGCCACAGAGTAGACCGAACTATCGTTAGTTCGGTTCTACCTTCAATGTTCTTACCCCAGTTCCTCCTGTGTCAACAGTGTTAAGTCTAAACCGATCTAACTTCTAGCAAGGCTTTTAGACCGAACTAACCATACTGCGCCTTAACCGATATAAGATTTAGTATGGTGACCGGGCTAACCTCTTTGGGACCGGAGTAACTTTAACGGCTTTTTTATTCATCCCTTCGCCCTAAGGCCCACAACGGCCTATTTACGTAGCTCGGCCCAATTTCCATATAAATTACCCTCTTAATTTCCAAACCAGACGAACAATTATTGAATTGAACCACATGAGTGGATTCTATGGCATTAATATTACCGGTTGACTCTACTACATTTTCAACTATGAATATTTTGAAAAATTGAATGTACAATCAAATGGATGATCAATAGATGAACTATAGCCTAATTGTTTACCTAGCGAAATACTTTTTTTATTGCATTATTAATGAGACTATTATGCAAAACTTCCAAAATATAAAACTCATTGGGCAAAATTGTAAAAGTTTTTATTAGAAACTTTATTAAAAAACTTCAAGTTTTTGTTTTTATTATTAGTTTTAAAATTTATATGATCTTATTGTTATTTATGGGAATTTTTTTTTTTATTTTTGGAGATTTTGACTAGTGGATGCCTATCCTAAATAAATTTCTGACTCCGCCACTAGTTGTCGTTACCACCCACCCACCATTATTAGTACAATTATTAGTGCATTAATTTTAAAAACGCAACCAAACATAGAAACAAATTAAAAAAAAATTCTTAAAAAATAAATTTTACTTAAGATATTTTTAGTTTAAACAAACTCAGAGTTCTCTATTGATTTATACTCATCGGCAGAGTTGGTAAAAATTATTGAATAAGATGAATTATAATCATACTATTATAATAAGTGTAATGATCTATTTCTTAATTTAAAATAATTAAAAATTAAATTATAAATTCATAATCTATTAGACTATTTAACACAACTTCTGCTCGACTTGGTCATCATGTTTGTCCATTAGACTTTTCAAAAAAAAAAAATTTGTTGAGTAATGTTGTGAATCATAAAAAAAAAATCTGAAATATCTTATAAAAATTTTCCATAATTGAATTACATATATAATAAAATATCATAAACTAGTCAAAAAATAAAAAAATTTCTATGATATTTTTTTTTCATGATTCTAACATTATACAAAAATTAGAGGACTATTTCAAAGTGTTGAAAGTTGAATAATATTTTATTTTTCTTTCCTTTTGAACTGTCAAATAGTCCAAATTAGAAGTTGTGCATATTTGACCAGAGAAATCATTCAGTACAGCTACTCAGGCCGATGGGTTTCACTAATGCTTATATAAAGACGCCATGTCTATTAGCAAAAGGTGGTGCACAATTCCTAGCACAACCTAGTGCCAAGAGCATAAATATTGAATATAACAGTGAGTTAAAACTGGAGGAAGAGAGAGAAATAATGAGTTCCGGTAGATCGATTTTTGATTTACCGGGACACATCATCACCGACATTCTCTCCCGACTTCCAATCAAGACAATCATCCACTGCAGGTGTGTTTGCAGGACATGGCGCAGTCTAGTCTTAGATCCCCATTTTGCTAATCTACACCTGTCAAGAACACCCACCAGCCTTATTATTCACCAAGATTCTGACAGATCACCTGACTGGGACTCTGATATTCTCAAATTGATCGAGTTTGATCGAGATGAACATGACCAACATGGCAATGGTCTTCTTCACTATGATCCACTGATGAAATTTGACCTCAAAAGATTATGTTACAAGAATGGTGAGATACTTTTAGTTGGTTCCGTCAATGGGTTGCTTTGTTTTTGTGATTATGAAAACGAAGCTATTTTCATTTGCAATCCAATAATGAGAGAGTGTATCACCCTACCGAAACCCATGTACACAAAACGGTATCCCTCAACGATCGTTTATGGGTTCGGATATAGTTCGCTTTCTGGGCATTACAAGGTGGTACAAATTTCTCAAACGCCGCTTTCTGATCCAGCTGAAGGCCTTCCGTCTTCGTATGATTCCCAAGGCGCGGTTTATGTTCTTGGAACAGCCAATTGGAGAAGCATTGGAACCGTCCCATTCTTGTATAGTTGTCGCTCGTACAATTTATCTTTGAATGGAAATATTCATTGGTTAAATTGTGATGGAGAGACTTCCGAATTAATATGTTCTTTTGACGTTGAGTACGAGTCATTTCAAGTATTTCCTTCTCCCCCTAACAACCTTATCAAGCAAACTTTGTATGTGAGTTTGGGATTGTTCCGGGATTATTTATGTTTATGTGTCACCGATGGTAGCGAAGATTCTGATATTGTTATATGGGTGATGAAGGAGTATGGAGTAAAAGAGTCATGGATTAAAGAGATTATCATTAGACAAAACTCTTCTGATCTATCTTGCCTGTTGTATGATGAAGTATCCCTACTACATGTTTGGGAAAATGGGGATATCTTGATTTTATGGCGCGATGATCGTTTGTACTCATATAGTCCTGAAAGGAAAACTTTGGAAGAAGTTGAGGTTCCCCGTGACAGTTCCCATATCGTTACGCCTTTCATCACTTACGAGATGATGCTTCATGTCCCAAGCTTTCTCTCGCTCAAGGATTTCGAAAGAGAGAAAGTTGACATGTTCTAAACCTCGGATCACTCACTGGAAAGGAATTCAGTTGCAGAATTACGAGCATAGTTGCAGTTCTTACTGTACCGCTCTGTCTCTCTTGTATTCTAGATTGATGGTATCCAATATGTGTTGTTAATATGCTTAAATGTGCACATTCTGATGAAATTTTGGACAATGCATGTATTTTGACGAAGTTTGGAATATTCATAAGCCAATTTCAAGAATAAAGTTTGTAATTTGTATTTTCCAATGAGAGAAAAATAGGGAAGAGCAAGAGGATGATGAAAAATATATCAGTGATAGCAATGTTTTCATTCAAACCTTCAGATATGTTCTATCATGCAATGTTGAGAAAACCGAACCAGTGAGCGAGTCGGAAAAGGTGCCAAGTGGACGGGTCACCGGTTCAACTGTCGGGTTAAAACGTGGTCAAACCGTGACATCATAATTAATATTATATAATTAAAAAATATAATTATAAATTATAAATAAACAAAAATATATGTAGATATTCAAATAAAAATAAAAATTATTACATAGTATTTATTAATAATATTTAATAAAGTCATAATTGATAAGAAAAAGTCAAGTCATTTGTTTTAAAGAAATTAAATTTTTTTAACATTAATTTCCTCGAAATAAATTGATTGAATGCTATAATTTAATTTTGGAGAGAAATGAAAATTTCAATTCGCCCTCACAATCAATATGATTCAAAATTCAAATAATTTGATTAAATCTCACAGAGAATTTTGTAGGTTCACTTTGAAAAATCTTTTGCTATAAATACCAATAGACTTTCATAATCTTCCCAAGTTTTCAATGATTCTCATGAGAAAAGACTCTAGAAGTAAGAGTTTTTAGTCAAAATTTTTGAAATATATATATAAGAAAGAAAGAAAAGAAAGAAGAAAAATAAAAAATAAAAAAATTAGAAATTTTCCAATCGCCGGGTCGTTCCAAAATCGGTACTAGGTCACTGGTTTTTCCTAGTTGAACTGGCGATTCTTCCAAATTTTGACAATCTAAGCTGGTTTTCATCCTAGTCCAGGTTTTTGGGATTCTTCCGAACCAGAACTAGACCGAGTCCCCTTTCACCAGTCCAACCGGCCCGATCCGATCCGTGTTTTTAAAACATTGCTATCATGCAAGCAATTAAAACATGTGCTCATAAAATTCATACTCTATCACCATTCCTCCTGTGTTCTTAACACATGAGTAATCAGAAGTAGGAATGGCAAGCGGGCGGGCGGAGCTGGAATCACATCCCCGTTCCCTGATCCCGATGGTGAAAATTTTTCCTGTCTCGGCCTCGATCCCAGACGGGACCTATCACCGCCCCTGCCCCCGCCCCGCCGCCCGCCCTAACGGGGATCGGGTTTTCCCGACCTCGAAAACTCCCCGGCCAAAAAAAAAAAAAAAAAATATCAACTCCAAAAAATACAAGAACTCATCAACTACAGCATCAACATCATCGCAACAACAACAACATCATCTTCATCATCTAACACATTAAGCAGATCTGAGCTTCGCTGATAAAAAAAAAAAAAAAAAAAAGAGCAGATCTAAGCTTCATCATCTTTATCATCTAACACAATCATCTACATATTAAATCGTCAACAAACAGATCTGTGCTATTTATAAAAAA